TGACTGCTGCTGCTTTCTATGGATTACACATAGAAGGTATTAACACTAGGTCTCGTTGTTTTTTGCTTAGTAAAGGGTTTATTCTTTTTTCTGCAGCTACCACTTTACTCTTTATCTATTTGTTGTACCCGTATTCATTGTCTGGGAGTGAATACTCACTTATGCTGTAAACCACAACTGAGTTTCAAAAGTTTAACCCTACTATGTATAAGGAATATGGAGAAGGAAGAATGTTAGAGGGAGAAGTAAAGATGCGACTCACATAATGTTGCTTTCAGTCTTTGTTGGTCTGTGGTGGTCTAATGTTTTTGTTGTCTCTATGTTTTCATTGCAGATGTGAGTAGACATGAGAAGCTGGTGACACAATAAGACACAAGATCACTCTTTCATATTGACATGTTGTATTTTTTTGTTCTACCTGTATGAGTTGTGACATCGCTTGTGACATAAGAAGATAATATGTATATGTTTCGTTTTATAGCTTCTTTAAGAACCCCTCCATTGGAGGAGGAAAATTTTATTTCCATTAACCAAGGTCCTAAACTTGACAAATCACCTTATTTATTCTTAATTTAATCATTACAACCTCTATTGGGTTCTAATAGATGGACATGCTCTAAGACCACCTCCAACTGAGTATGTTAACAAAGGTTCTAAAAAAAGAGAAATTAGACAGAACCACTGTCTAAAATAGGAATTGTGTAGCAGCTAAGAGCATGTTTATCAACAAAACTCACTTAAGGTCTCTTAGCCATTAAAAGTGAATTTTTTAGTCAAAAAGTGAGATTAAGAATTTTGTTAAGAGACACATAAATAATATCAATTTATTGGTAGTTTCTTAATTAAAGTTCTTAACAAAAAAAATATTATATTTATTTTTAAACTTGAAATTTTAAACAAAGATCAAGTTTATTTATTACATAAAACAAAGTCAAACACAACATTTTAAACATAGATTTTAAAATAAAAATATTAAAACATTAAAACAAAGATTACTAAATAAACGATAATAATTTGAAAGAGGAATCGAAGCTCAGTTGTTATTTTGATCACGTCCAAATTTACTCCATAAATGTTCAACCAAATCACGTTTCAGTTTTTGATGCGCTTGTTTATCACGAATTTGTACTCGAACACCCATCTGATTGGCGATGTTTGAAGGGGTATCTGTTGAAAATGGTTGATCGACATATGAACTTCCGCTGCTTTCTCCTTGTTCGAAACCCGAGACATCGTACTGAGTGTGTTGATCTCGTTCGTTTTCTACTATCATATTATGGAGTATGATACATGCTCTCATAATCTTCCCGATCTTGCCTTTATCCCAACCAAGTGCTGGATTTTTAACAATGGCAAATCGAGCTTGCAAGACTCCGAAAGCACGCTCGACATCTTTTCTAGCAGCTTCTTGACATTGAGCAAATAAAACCGCTTTCGGACCTTGTGGTAGTGAAATAGATTGGATAAAAGTTCTCCATTTTGGATAAATCCCATCAGTAAGATAGTAAGCCAAATCATACTCGTTTCCGTTAACCGAGTAATTCACTTGCGGAGCTTTACCATTTATTATGTCATCAAAAACAGGTGAGCGTTCAAGAACATTTAGATCATTTAAGGTACATGGAGATCCAAAAAACGCATGCCATATCCAGAGATCATATGAAGCAACGGCCTCCAAAACGATTGTGGGCTTTCCCGAACCACGAGAAAATTGCCCTTTCCAAGCGGTGGGACAATTCTTCCACTCCCAATGCATACAATCGATGCTTCCTATCATTCCCGGAAATCCCCGAAGCTCTCCAATATGAAGTAGACGTTGAAGATCATCCGCTGTTGGTCTTCTTAGGTATTGATCGCCGAACAAATTTATTATTGCTTCCACAAAATGTTCCACACATAACCGAGTGGTAGCTGCAGCGAGCCTGAGGTATTCGTCGACTGCATCAAGTGCAGAACCGTATGCCAACACTCGAATAGCTGCGGTACACTTTTGAAGTGCAGAGAGACCAAACCTTCCGGTAACGTCTTGCTTTTGACGAAAGTACTCCACTTCATTGGAAAGGCGATGAACAATAGACATGAACAATGACTTGTTCATTCTAAATCGTCGTCGGAAAAGATTTTCAGTATATGTTGGAGTGTCACTGAAATAATCATTCCATAATCGGACATGACCTTCTTCACGGTATCTTTCAATATATTCTCTTTTTTTTCTTGGTTTCCTTTGTTGTTGACGATCATAAGTATTGCACAAATTCTCAAATGCTTGCTCGTAACGTTGATGAAAATATTGATCAAAAGCTTCATCAAACGAATCTTCGGAATTGTTTTGAGAACCCTCGGAATTGTTTTGAGATGAAGATGCCATGAGATGATATTTTTTTTGTTTCTAAAAGAGAAGATTGAGAGAGAATGGTGTTTGAGATTTCTTTTGAGAAAGAGAATGTAGTGAATGATGAGAATGCTGAGATAACAAATCACATNTTCAAGAACAGAGTACAAAGATAACATAAGACCACCTACAACATCACACATCCGAGAACAAAGATATAACAAAGATAACAGAACTTAAATAAATTAGACAAACATCACACATCCTAGAAATTTCAAGAGAACAGAACATTAATCAGCTTCTTCTTGAGGTCTTCCTCATACTCAAGAAGAGGTTCTTTTTTGGCTATCAGACTGTCTAGTAGTCTCATCTTAGACAAGCGTTCTTTCCTCTCGAGATCTTGTTGTCTCATAGACCACATGTTCTCAAAATCCTTCATCGCTTTCTCCTCACCCACTTGCTTCTTACCACTGGATTTTGATGCCTTTACACCCGGAGAACGCGACTCAACATTTGCTTGAGAGGCTGAAGACTCTCCACCATCTTCACATCTTCTTTTTTTTTGAATTTCCTGCATTTTTAGCAGACGCTGCCTCACACCACTTCTGGTCGTTCCTGAGCTCTTTCCAAGCATATTCCAGGAGGAATTTCTTCTTATTATTGTTGGCTTCAAATATTTTATGTGCTTTGTTGAGCACATTATCATCATTCTCGCCGCTCTTCCTCTCCCTCTTTGCTGCTTCGTAGGCTCCGCAGAACTTGCACACAAGAGTATTGATCTTGTGCCATCTTTGCTTGCACTTCAAGGCCGCTCTCTCGCAGTCACCATCTTGACGACTTGCAGCATAATAAGCTGCTACTCTTGACCAGAAAGTGGTTGCCTTTTGTTCATTGCTAACCACTGGATCTTTGCTTGTGTTAAGCCACGAGCTTATGAGCACAAGATCCTCCGCAGAAGTCCACTTATTCCGTTCTTTGCGCTGTGTACCAGTCTCCCCATCAGCTTCGGATGCAACAGCTTGTGATGAATACTGTGAGATACTCTCTTCATAATTCCCAAACGAAATGTTTTGTTGGCTATTTAGTAAGTCAGTGAATTTTGAGGTGTAGGAAAATGGATAAGAATCCATCTCGTAATTAAGCTCAATGAAGGGAGAAAGAAAATAACAGAGATGAGAGAGTGAGAAAGAAAGAATACGGTGAGAAATGTAGAGAAGACATAGGAGAAGGACATATTTAAATACACTGAAGAGAAGCAAAATGCATTGAAGAGAAAACAGATTAGACATGTATCCACCACGTTCATCAATGTAATTCATTCATTTCTATCTAACCACTTAAAGCACGTTTATCATTTCTATCTAACCACTTAACTTCATTTCTATGAACGTATTTATTACCTAAGCCAACCGTAATTTCCTTTCTATCTAACCACTTAACATCAATTTATTATCTAACCACATACTGATCCAGAGCAAAGAAAGGAGTTTACCTGTATGAGCCGTCGTACCATTATGTCTCACCAACTGGAGCAAGCATCTTCATCAAACAACTTCAGAATGAAAAATAAAACAGAGACAAATCAAAACTATTACAAAGACCAAATCTAACTAAAGACACAAAATCTAACTAAGCAAAATCATAGTCAAGAAGATAAATTTGCAGATTTAATATAAAAGTTAACCTTTAGCCTTCCATCATAGCAACCCAACGATCATAAACCAAAATTTCACCTCCACCAGCTTCATAATCCTCTATCGCAGAAGCTTCCCTGATCAAAAAACAAAAAGAAACGATGATCATGATATATTCTCACACAAAAACAAACGATGAATAAACAAATCACAACAGATCAAATAAATCAAACCAGATCAAAGAAATCCTAAAAATAATAATCAGAATCAAGACATGCATAGTGAGATATACAACCTCTCGAATCGCCGGAACCACAACAGTCACCGTTTATCTACGTCCCACTGAGCCACCGATAGAGAGAGAGGAGGCCTCAAAGAACCACCGACAGAGAGAGATGATGCCTCAAAGACCCACCGATAGAGAGATATGTCGCCGTTCTTGCTTGCCGGGAACCACCGGAACAGACTTGCCGTTTGTCGAGGAGGTGTCGACGAGTCGTGGTTTCGCCACGGAGAGAAGAGGAAAGTGAAAAAAAGAAAGAAAGGAGAATAGAGGACGAAAGGGGTCACCACTCTTCCGGCAAATGATATTGTGCCACGTGCTCGCTAAGGAACGTGCTCTCGAGACCTTGATCGAGAGACGTGTTTTGTTTAATTGTCTTTTTCCCATTTATTTTAATTGCAATTTTCGCTTAACTACCCCTTAAGACACGCCGATAAATGTGCTCTTAAGAACCCCATACGTGGTAGTTTATTATAGGGTAATCTTTAGCCTCTCTTCCCCACCTGCGATTTTTCGCCATTTCTCCAGTGTCTTCTCAAAAATCAATCTTCCTTGATTCCGCATTAACCAACATTGTAAGTTCTTCGATTCCAGTCCTTTCCGAGTATATTTCTTTGTTTCATTTGTATGAGTTCATTTTAAGATATGTTCAACTGTAGCAACCTTTGTAGATTGGTCCTCTCTTCTGCAATTTAATTGATTACATTTTTTGGCTTCATATTCTGTAGGTGGTTTTTCTTTTGAGGTAACCATGGGGAAAAAGGCTGGAAATTTGTACATAAACCCGAAAAAGCTCGACAGTATAGCGAAACCGCGTATGAAGGAAATGATATCATTCCTCAACTGTATGGCTCTTAACAAATGCAAAGATGATAACTGTAGAAACATAAGAACCTCATGAGCGTTTGTATGAACAGACATGTAATAACATTTTTCCATTGTTACTTTTGTTTTTTTTTATGGTTGAGTAAACGATGTACCTTTTGTTTACTTGCTGCCCTTCTCTTTGTAGTCGGAGAAGTCTAAGTGGGGGGGAAATATTTATTATCGTTTGCTTGTCTTATGGCTTGGCATGTATTACGTATGACCAATCAGCCCTTATCAAGTAACATTATTGCTTGTCTTATTGCCGCTCTTCCTTCTTATTGCTTGTGACTCACCATGTTTCGTTTCAGTTTTTGCAGGTGAAGCTTGTGACAAGAAGGACCTGTTGATCAAGTCTACTACTCAGATCACAACAATGCTTTGTGGTGGTAAGAGTCATCATGTTTAATTTAGTTATGCTAGACTGCAATGTGATCCCTTTTTATATGATATACATGTTCTTCTTTTTTGGTAGAATGTAATGTGATCTCTCTTTTTCATGTTAAAAACAAAAGAAAACTTAAGAACCTCAAAGAGACTCTTCCATCGGATCATGAGAAATTTAATTACAGTAGCAAGGATTCTAAACTTTTCTAATCATAAAATTAACTACTAAATTATTGGTGTTTCAAAAAAAACTACTAAATTATTCATTAGAACCTTTAATGGACTCTTACAATAGGAGTTGCTCTAAGAACATCTTAAATGTGGAGCATCTTAAATGTGGGGTTCTACCCATTAAAGTTCTAAAGATACATATGTATATATGTATGTGTTATATATGAGAATATAGGTGTAGAGTTCACAAAATAGTGTATAATTCCTATTCAAAAATTCTAAAAAAATTTCTAACACTTTTTTGTGGATCCTACACCTACATACACATACATATACATATATATTTTTAGAATTCTAATGGATATAACCACGAGGTGCTCTAACCACCCACCAAAGGAGATCAGTGTGAAGAAGTCTTCTTCTCTGACTATCTCATCCAAATTTCGTTCATTCTGAATACACAAAGCACTCTAATAAGAGAAAACTAATATATATAGGTTTGGAACAAATGTGAAGGAGCCACCCAGTACTGAGACTAGTACCGGCAAAATCCTATATGTGCTAAATCTAAATATTTGATGTCACCATCCCATCATGATATTATGATAATATACACATATATAATGGCTTTGCGGGTTGGATGGATGCAGAACTGACAAAATACATCAAATTAAATATTTCTTATGTTTCAAAATAATGTATATTTTAGAATTTTCCCACTTTTTAAGAAAACACGTAAAATTTTCTAATAAATGTATTATTTTCTGTGTTTAGATATTTTCTATGATTTTTAACCAATCAAAATTCAGTAAACATAATTAATATTTTTGAAATTGACAATTTGCCATTATCTACTTTGAAAATGTAAAACGTAGATCTTTTAGAAACAATTCTTTAGTCTAAAACGTTGATCATTCTGAAACGGAGGGAGTGCTACTTTTTATTGTTTAATTTTAAATACTATCTCACGTGTTGTCAAAAAAAGAACTATTTCACCGATCATGAATGTATCTCGTCCCGCTTCGCACTGTTTCCATTAGAAGTCTATGCAGCAACATATCTGATATTATACGTAGTAATTATTCGTGATGCTTTATTACGTTTAACTATACTAATTAAATATAACTAAAACAACAAACTGAAAAAGAAAACAAAAAATAAAGTACAATGATTGTAACAAATGGTTAGAAAATTGTTTGCACATGGACACAACACCGCATTGCTTCCCTGACAGGTAAAGAGACCAGACAATCTCCCAAGTTGTGGGACACATGAATCCTTTCTTACATTGCTTTCCAAATTGAATTGAGAAAACTGTAATGATTTCCTTGCAGATATTATGATTCTAAGGTTCAACTACTGGATTCATGACACAATGTCAACATTATATGTAAAAGAAATTATGTGATATGTTGACTTATGAATCGTTTTGCAGTGTGAATCCGTGTTGTAGATTCTGTTGACCAGATAAAAATAAAACATTAGTATTTATCGATTTATATTAAAAACTTGGACTATTTTCAAACCAAAAACAGAAACTAGTAGTAGGTCATTAAGTTAAATTAGGGATATTATTCTATAAGTATTAAAATTTGTTTTGGTGGGTCAATCATGTTCTTTTGTGGGTCTATAGACACATTAATTGAGGGCTATATGCCTATAATTATAACTAGCAACAACATCTTTGTGGGTTATAGTGATTGTGTTTATATTTAGTTCTTCATGTTGTTGCTAGCTGACTATCATTAATTTCTAATTCAGTTTGCAAACACATGGAACTAAAGCAAGTGATGATTGTAATCTACTGATTGTGGTGGATGCCTATTCCTCTATATATTAGAATGGAGATTAAAGGGATAAAATTATCATATGATAACCCACTTATTTGAATAAAAGATGAAAAATACTTTGAACAATAAAAAAGTAGATTATTGTTAATTGTGTGTTTCTTATAAGTGTGGAATATCACTAGCATATATTATACATGACAATTTAAAAAAAAAAAATTTAAATGCTAAGCTACCTAGTGACTTTCTCTTAGTAATTTACTTAGTGTGGTGGATGGATCACTACCGACCAATCACCAATGCATTCCGTTAACCGGCCTTTAACTAATGCACTTTTTTTTATTTACAAATATGCATAGTATTATAAATATAAATTACTATTGTAGGCGTAGCATTATCACTAGTAACGAAAATTGATATTTCATACAAGTGATATAGCCATGTAGGTGTGTAACCTTCGACTATTTATGTATTTTAAAATTATAAAATTTATTATCTTGGGTAACAAGCTATCCCTGTATTAAATATGTATATAGCCTTTTTTAAACACAAATATGTATATAGCCTATTAATTATATTTTCAGATGATTATCATTTGAGAAAACAAGAAAGCCTCCAAAACACTTATCAACAATAATTTTACAGTAACAGTTTGAAGGTAAAATATCATTATTTGGATGTCCATTTATATGTAGTATTCATATCGTGAAAATATTTCAATATTTATTAATAAAAATTTTAATAATAAGAAAACTAAATTGTGCGTTAAAAACTCTAACAACCTTGCACTAATGAATTTTAAAACCTTCGACCAAAAAAAGATAACTAATTGTATTTGAATCCAAAATTCTTTTGTTTTGAATACAATGAGTTTGGATGGTGTTCTGATTGTCATAATAGTAATCTTTCTTCGGCTTCTGTCTTGTTTTTGTTCATAGTAATAGGCTAATAGCAAAGTGTGCTTTGGGTTAGACCCATACAAGAACGACAGTAGTTAGCCCATTGATTGACTAAGAATATAAGTGGATCGCTTCTTATTTTAGGGTGGCTTAAAAAAGAGTCCATTAAAGTCATTAAAAAGTACTTAATACTCCATCAGTTTCAATATTATAGGATATTTTGGTGAATTTTATTGTTTCACAATAATATTTTGATATATATAGGTAATTTAACTTTATGAAAAAATGTATAACCAATTATATTTTTATTAAATTTTATTCATAGATAGGTAAATTAATTTTAAAATATTTTTTCAATATTTTTTAAAAGTAAATTTACTAATATGTGCAAAGAAACAAAACTTCATATATTGTGAAACAAAGGGAATATTAAAGGACTATTATATATTCAGTGAAACTAAAATATGGAAATGTTTGCACTTCTCAAATTACTAGTTGCATACTCCCCGCGCAAGCGCGGGGCCGGGATCATTATATTTGCGTGTATTTTTTTCGATTGTCGGTTTAGTGGATTCTTCTAATGACACCAAATAATAATGAAATGGAGAATTTCGTGTTTTTATATCGTATGTCAAAACTTGATATAATCCTATATTTATAGTATTTATATTTGTATTAAACGATTTATCAATTTGAAAATATCCTTAATTAAGTTAATATTCGTTGTTTAAGTTTCATTAGATAGGTTTTTATATATAGTTTTTTGTAAGTTTGGGTTTTGTTCATAAATGATGTGGCATTTTTATCTACGGAGTCATCGACTATGGGAATCCATTCGCCGAAGTCTGGAGTCGATGGTGAGAAATGTTTTCAATGAAATTATAGTAGTTATTAAAATGTAACAGAAATTACATATTCATTTAATAAATAACTAAAAATACTTAAATTTTGTTGTTTATTTTATTTTATTTCACATAAATTTTTTTTGAAAAATATTAGGTATGTGTTAAATGTTATATATATGCGAAGTAAGGTTTATAGGAATAGTTAGGCTATAATATAGTTTTTAGTGTGTAAAAGTAGCTGTGTTTTTTTTTTTTTGCTGTAAATAGTTTTTATATCGTAGATCAAAACTTGATATAATTCTATATTTCTATTATTTATATTTGTATTAAACGATTTATCAATTTGAAAATAACCTTAATTAAGTTAATATTCGTTGTTTAAGTTTCATTAGATAGGTTTTTATATATGGTTTTTTGTAAGTTTGAGTTTTGTTCATAAATGATGTGCCAATTTTATCTACGGCGTCATCGACTGTGGGAATCCATTCGCCGGAGTGTGGAATCGGTGGTGACGGTGGTGAGGAATGTTTTCAATGAAATTATAGTAGTTATTAAAATGTAAGAGAAATTACATATTCATTTAATAAATAACGAAAATAATTAATTTTTGTTGTTTTTTTTATTTTATCTCACATACAAATTTTTTGGAAATATATATTAGGAAATATGTGCAATGATTTAACTTTTTGTGCTACTAATCTATATTATTCAAGCCTCATTAAGCCATCCACGTAGGCACCCGCGTGCAATTCACTTTTTTTTTGGTCTGTTCGTTTTTGGATTTATTTTTAATTATTTTTGGGTTGAGCTATATTATAGTAGGATAGTTTTAAGGTTTTTTAAGTCATCCGCGTAGGCAACCGCGTGAGACTTGCTTTTTTTTTTTTTTTATTGTTCGTTTTGGATTCATTTTAACTATTTTGGGTTTGAACTTGTTAAGATTTAGGGTTTATCCAACTATTTTGATCTTTAAAAAAATAAGCCCAAAAAGAACCATAAAAATCTTATAAACAAAAAGTCCATATGATAATAACTCAAATTAAAAAAAAATCAAAAATACATGATAGCTGCGTGGTTTGAACCCATGATCTTGTATACTTAATTAAACACCTTATACCACTTGGCTAAAGTGTATTTCATTGTTTGTAATCATCTTACCAAGACTATGGGTGTTTAAAAAATATCTACGGGACCCACAAAACTGCTGACGTGGCGTGCTGTGGAGCCTAGAACAAACATAACAAAGGTATAAAACATGAGAGCAGTGGGAATTGAACCCATGCCCTTGCAGACCAAACATAGGGCCTTAGACCACTTGAC